AAAGAGTGTCAACAGATAGCATAAAAACCAGTTCATTTCCAGAAGCCTGTAGGGACCCTGGTGAGAAGGCTGTTGCTGGTGCCTAGGCATGTATCACACTGCGTGGAATGTGGAATGAGCACAGACAGACAGGTACTGAAACCCAGGTTCCTATCCTCAGACCATGTAGGATCAAAGCTTTCAACAATGCTGGCTGGCAAAGAAAATGCCAAGACAGTTCCTAGAGAATGAAAGCAAATAAAAATGGTGTCTCAACCTCCTGGCAGCTGTGGTCTTCTTCCAGAAGACCCCTGACCATAAAAGCCCCTCCACTGGAGTTGCGGCATTCAGATCCCATTCATCAATTGAGTTACAACATGACAAGATATCAGTTAAGATGAAGCCAGGGTTGTGGCAGAGAAGCCATTCCAAGCACGAAGCTGCTGTCTTCTGGGGTTGCATGTGAGATAGGGTTCAGAGGGTGCAGCCAGGAGAGCAAGAGGGGCATAGGTCCTGTACACTCTTTTCAGCCTCTTGGTCCAGGGTACAGCATCAGCAACCAAGAAGAACATCATCCTCAGTAAGGGCCACAACAGTCCTAACACTGGCTCTGATATGCAGTGGTAGATGTCTTAACAACAACAACAACAAAGCTACTCCAGGAAGATATGAATCACAACTATGCCAACAGGGATGCACCCAGGGCATGGAGAGCCCCTATCGCTCTTGAAATGGTGGTGTTCTCACACGTAAGAGGAAAGTGGGAGATGTGGCAGAAGTCCTCTCTTGATGTGCTTGTCTGCAGAACTTACCTAAAAATTAGGCTTACAAACTCAACACTAAGTTGAGTTGAAATGAAAAAATTATATTAAAATTTCACAGGACTTTAAGATAATCAGCATGTTTTTAAAAACTCTGGTGGACTTCACATAAATTCATAAGGATGACCTTCAAAATTGGTTTTGATTGCTGACACAGCTATGGGGGGAAAAATGAGTGCTGATTTGCTTGTATGTGTCCAGGCAAAAGTTCAGAGAATCTTTTCCAAGTGATCTCAGTTCAGTATTCTACTGAAGAGCCATGGTTGACCAGGTAAAGTGTGATATTCTTAAATACACGGGAACTCTGGCCAAACAGACAGATCCAGGGGGCTCAAGAAAAATGCCAGTGAAACTTCTCTGGCAGTGTCTCATATCATCATTTTACAGCAGAACTCAGAAGTTGGGATGTCCAGAAGGGAGTGTGGCCAGTACTGATTTGAACTCAACAGAACAGACAACACATTAGTAGGAGCTTTACCCAAAATTTTCAGCATGGTGCTACCATGTTTCTTCACAATCACCTCTGAAATAAAAAGCAGGAAGCCAGGGTCCCAAGCGGGTACTTAGAAAGGAGCATTCCACCTTCACTGGCCAACCAGTCCAGGCCTCTCAATGCTACCAATGTATTACAGAACACTTTACCTCCAAGTGCATTTGACTATGACTCAGAACCATGACCTATGAAGATATTTATAGCTCTTAGAGGTGTCCCTGAAACAACTCAGGATTTCAGCTTCTGTAGTCAAGAAGACATAAATGGGCCTGCCATGCCCACCAATGATCCCTAGCTCCTAGTATGATACTTGGGCACACAAAAGACATTCAGTTGACATTTGTTGAATGCTAATTGTTGAATGCCAGTGGGCATACTTAATTCTGGCTTCCCAACACGAGGTCACTCCATACTCATAGCATCCTGCAGTCCTACAGTTTATTGGACAAGCCTCCCTATGTCTGGCCCTGAGCACCCTGGAAGACCATCTAGCCAGAAATACTCCCTTCCCAACTCCACGGTCCCAGGAACAAGCCATACCTGCAACAATTCTGCAGTCTTTACTGTTAGGCCTGTGATGTACTGCATCCGAAGATTCACCCGAGCCACAACAGGGTCATCATCCTCCTCCAGCCAGGAGCTAAGCCAAAACAAGAGGGAGAGAAAGGAAGGTGGGGAAGGCAGGTTTAGATGAGGTTCTGCCCTCTCTCCCCAGCATCAGGGCCAGCACTAACAGGCAGCACAGGGTGAGTGCTCCATGTAGGGAAGGTGCCAGCAGGGAGGACAAGCCAAGCCACCCTCCCTTCAATAGGAACTGAGAGGCCCAGGAGTTGGGGCTTGAGCAGCCACCCTGCCACCACCATCACCTTTGCTAACCTTTTGGAAACTCTGTAGCTGGCAACAGTGAGAACACCTGTCTTGGGATCACGAACAGTGGCTCGTGCAAGCTGGAAGGCAGGAAGGAATGGCAGACTTATCATTCTTTGCCTTGAGTATTTTTTTCTTGGAGAGACTGGGACCTGATCTGCCAATCAGGCCAGTGTGAGAAGGAGCTCTGCAGTCAGTGGCTCTAGCCAAGGCCCCATGACCCTGCAAGCCAGGCCAGGGCAGTGGTCTGGGGCCTCCAAATTCCTGCTCTATCAGACCCTGGCCACTACCCTGCTTGGCTGCTGCCTGCCCCTGCTCCCTCCCAGGTCCATGCTGTCTGCAGAATTATGCCTATGGAGTCTGCTTTGTCCATCTGCCCATCTGCCTGGACAGCCCCTTTCTCACCAGGCCCACCCACCACACCTTCCTGCACCTGGCTGCTCCTACCACATTCAGACTGTGCTGCCATCCCTGAGCCTCAATCTTGCATGCTCCTCTCAACGTGGTCAACTACACTGTCCTTCTGAACCTCAGCAGCCTTCTCTGCCCAGAAACCTACCCAGTCTCCTGCTGCACCAGCCCACGCTGGCCTCCCACTGCTGCAAGAAACAAAAAAAGAAGGCACAGTTTTCACTACCTTGGGAGGCCTGCAAGGTCAGATGATAGAATAGGAAAGGAATCTACAAGGTGCAATAAGTAAACTGCTGCCTGGAAGCCACCTACACACACACACACACACACGCACACACACACACACACACACACACACACACACACACCCCACACACACACACACCTCACCTCATCTCACCTACCTCATATCCCCCCAGTCTCCACAGACTGGTGCAGTGATACTCCCAGGAAGGACCTGCTGCCTGGAGCCAGCCCCCAGTGCTTCAGCTGTGGACTGTCCTATGTGCCTGGCACTGCTGGGTGACCAAGACATGGCCCCTGCCCTCATACAACTCAGTCAAGTGGGGAAGGCAGAAAACTAGCTGGGTAATCCCAGCACAGCATGGTAGGTGCTGGGAGACGGGAAGCTCAATGTCTTTGGGAGCTCAGTCTACAGGGTCAAGAATGGTTTCCTACAGGGGGGACCACCTAGCTGAGATCTGAAGGATAAGTAGGAGTTAGCCAGGTGGGAGAGCATTACAGGAACAGGGAAAGAACAGTGATGCAGAGGCCCAGAGGTGAAAATGGATGTGGCACTATTGACTGTGGGTTAGAACTCAGAGCAAAGAGATGAGAATAGGCTGAGGAGGCAAGTGGGGGTTGGGCTGGATGCAACCTATGACCAATGAGAAGCAGGGAAGGCTTTATGCAGGGGAGGGACACCACATTCTGAATGTAAGAAGGATCACTGTGGAGACATCATGGAGGGTTGGCTAAGGAGGCGTCAAAGCAGGAAGAAAGAGGCCAGTGAGGATGTAAGGGAGAGGTCAGGGCAAGAGGTGGCAGAAGGGATGGAGGGGGTGGATGGACTAGAAGACTGGCCAGGAGGTGAGATCAACCAACCTGGACACGAGCTGCTGCAGCACATTCTGGTAAGATGGCACTGCACCCAGAGCAGAGAGCTTCCCTGAGATCATATCTACGGTTCTTTCCTGATGACAAGTGCAGCTGCAGCTAGACCCCATCCAAACATGTGAGCCGCAGCACTGGCCTGACACCCACAGGGAGACTCTGGGCAGCTGGGGCTCTGCTCCCAGGGATAGACAGGGCTATTTTGAAAGCAGACCAGAGATCCACAGGCAGCTGCCAGGCATTCCCCACAGGACAAGTTAAGCTCATGGGCCCTACTTCAAAGCCAGCATAGCATCTGTCCCTCACAGGCTCCGGAAAGGAAAGGTCAGCTTGTAATAGCCAACATGCTTGGCTCTTCACATGGCTTCTGTTCAAAGACAAATTTTCCCAACACGCTCCTCCCTGCCCACACTGCCCAGCCACACCCATGTGCACACATGCACCCAACATCAACACACACACACACACAGAGATGTTTTAGTGCTTTCGTCGGAGAGACAAGGGAGAACTCTCTCAGGAGGTCATGGCACAACAGTGCCTCTCTCACCTGACAGCCAAGAAAGCAACTTTCTTTCCTGGAGGAATCTGGAGCTGGTCCAGGGAATGGAAGCGGTGGGGCAGGGGGCGAGGTGTCTCTGGTCCCCATTCTCCACACACACTGGCTAGACCCTCCCTCAGCGACATCAATGACACTCAGAACTGACTCTGAGCCGTAGATGTCCTAGTATCTCAAGCCAAGGCTGTTCCAAGATACAGTCCAGGGCCTAGGACAGGAACCTATTTTAGATCTCTCCAGGAGTGCTGGGCCTCCTGGCCTCTACGATTAGGAGCAGAGCAATAGAGGATCTCCAGCTAAATCCTCCCTTCCAATCACCAGTGATAGGAGAAGGATGGGGATACGGCAGAAAGTAGTTCTCTTTGAAAGATGTCAAAAAGGAAAAAATCTTTTATGAACTAGAAATAGAAGAATAATTTTATAACATGATGAATATATACAAAACCAACAGCCAACTGCATACTTAGCAATGAAATACCAAAAGAATTTCCATGAAATTCAGGAACAAGACAAAGATTCCTATTGTAAAAATGCTCTAGAAGCTCTGGGCAGTTCAAGAAGACAACAAAAACAAAAGAACTATCACTATCAGGATGGAGAAAACAAATTTTTTCTTATTTGCAGATGCTAATACTATCTGGACAACCCAAGATAATTAGCTAAAAACCAAATGAAGAATAAGTGAGTTCAACAAGTAGCTGTGATCTGCACCATGTCTGTTTCCTTGCAGGTAAAATGAAGATGATCACAGAGCCTGCTAAATAGACATAGCAGTTAACATATGTTAATGACTTAGAACAGGGCCTGCCGGGACTTCCCTGGTGGTGCAGTGGTTAAGAATCCGCCTGCCAATGCAGGGGACACGGGTTTGAGTGCTGGTCCGGGAAGATCCCAATGCTGCGGAGCAACTAAGCCCATGCACCACAACGACTGAGCCTGTGCTCTAGAGCCCGTGAGCCACAACTACTGAGCCCACACGCCTAGAGCCCGTGCTCCACAGCAAGAGAAGTCACTGCAATGAGAAGACCGTGCACTGCAAAAGAGTAGACCCCGCTCACCACAACTAGAGAAAGCCCGCACACAGCAACGAAGACCCAACGCAGCCAAAAATAAAATAAAATAAATAAATTTACCAAAAAAAAAAAAAAAAAAATCCCAGGGCCTGCCACACTTCACAACTCAGTAAACACTAGCTATTACTATGAAATATATTTTTACAATCAATAGTTCAGTATATAATAGTAAACTAATTTAATAATGTAACCAGTAAAAACATAATGACGAAAGAAACAGTTTTTTGTGAAATTACAATAACAACAACAACAAAAAAACACTGCCTAGGAATAAATTTAACAAGAAAAGTGCAGGGCTTAGGTGAAGAACAATTTTAAAGATATGAATAAACAGAGACCCAGAGCGCTCTTGGATGAGAAGACTCAATACTGTAGAGATGTTCGTGCTCCTCCAAGTCAATCACTTCTTTGCCATCCTAATCAGGAGACCCACAGGACCCAGCTTGGCAGTGCCCCAAGGCATAACTTCCTAAAAACTAGCCAACACACCAGCCCTCAACACAGTGAGGTGACACTTCTCACTGTGGGCTTGCCCTGCTTCCAGTGTGCCCTTCTATCACAGCCCTTGTCTGTCCATATTGGTTCCCTCAATTTTCTTCCCCCACTGGACTATGAACCCTCAAGGTCAAATTGAGTCTGTAGTACCTTAGTACCCGACAGTGGACTCATGCAAGACATAAGCAAAGGCCAGCCGGGTAAGCAACTAAACTGCCCCATGGTACCAGAAGTGAGTGGCCCAAGAAGGAACTGCAGAGACACCTACTTTGGGTTTTGCAATTTCCTTGATCCTCTCGATTTCCTCGTCAGACATGACATCGTAGTACCTGACGATGTGTGGACTGTCCCACTCATCCTCCTCTTTGAAAGGGGCGATGAGCAGCTGTGGCGTCCTGTTGCCATGGTGGTACCTACAGAAAAGCCTCTTCTGCCTTCGGGGTGTCTGGGGAGCACAGAGAAACAAGCCCTGAACTGAGTGAGTCCTAACCCTCAGTCCCAGGCTAGCTGGCTGCGGACACTGGCCTCACACCCCATGTCCAGCAGCCGCTCCCTCCCGCCTCACCAGAGAAGAAAACAAAAGCTCCTCAGTTTGACTGGCATGAAATGATACCCCACAAATCATGCAATGTTTCTTCCCTCCCAAGAATACCTCATGTTGACAAGTCCTGTAGCAGGGTGTAATCCCTGGCCCCTCTCACAGAGATGTGGGTAGGTCAGGAGGGCTAGGGCCAGAGAGAAGTCTTTCTAGACAGAGGAGCCAGTGGGAGCGAAGCAGACATGGGCAAGAAGAAGACCAAGAGATTGTCTCACACCTGAGCCTCCTTGAGGAAGCACTGGGGTCCAAGGGCTCTCAAAGGCCAGTGATACCCTATACCAAGCTCTAGCACCTGCCTTGTCTTTGCTAGAGATCATGACTCCCGTGGGGGCCCAAGGCACATCCACACTCATGGCTTTCTTCAGAATAGGGAGTCAAGTAGAAGCTGCCCTGCTGGGGTGGGGAGGGGAGCTCAGTAATAACTTAGAGGATTGAAACTCTGCCTGGGACCTCAGGGAAGACAAGTCTCCTGTCCTATACCTCAGAGCACACCCACATGTCAGCCTCAGCAGATGCTACCAAGAATTGAGAAAACTACCTACAGACAGAGGAACATCTTCCTCAGATCTGCCTGCCCACAGCCAAAGTCTAGGTCCACAGCCTGGGCCCTTACCCATCCACGTGTCTCACCAGTTTGACACCCTCCCCACGACAGAGGCTCTCGTAGATATCCCTCTCGGGCAGGTAGTCCACAGGCCTCTCATATATGCCTTCCTGGGGTGCTAGCTCAGCTTCTGTGTGATTCAATAACATCTTTTCTCTTTCTTCCTCCAACAACCGTTCAAAGTAGCGCAGATTCCCTCCAGCTCGTTCATGGCTTGGGTCTAGAAAAAGCAAAGAACAAGAAGCAAAAGGAAACCACAAACATCTGTTAGGTCATTTAGAGAAATTATTCTGTAAGTGGTTTTCTCTCCCAGCAGCTCACTCGCACGCAGCATTCTGCCTTCCACAGCACCTAAGCACGGTTCGCTGGTCATAGAGGAAAGGCCAACAGAGGTTGTCCCTACTCTGGTCAGAGATGAGAAAGGAGCAACAAGAGGGGGGTGCGGGGGACGCTTAGCCACCGACACGGCTCTCCTCCGGAACTCCCTGGAAGTCCCAAGGACACAGGTACAGAGAAGCAGGCCAGAGTTCTGCCTCCTCCTCCCCACTTGGCTGTGTGCTAGTTACAGCCATCCCCTCGAGTACATCCACTACTGGTGACATCACATGCTGGCCACAGCTAGAAGGCAGGCTGAAACACTGGCGGCAAGAAGGGCCACATGACACTCCCACAGCTTTGTCCTGTGGGCCTCACAACAAGAAGGAGCAAGCTTGGCAGGATTACTGTGCTACCCCTCAGATGAGGAAACTGCAGCCCAAAGATGTTAGAGATTAAGGTTAGGTTGTTCAGAAGAGGAATCCAGGTATCCTGACTCCCTGTACAAGGCTCTTACTAACACGACAGAGTCCAAAAAAACTCTCTTCCCACATCCGTCTTACAGACATTCACACTAGCTGGTCTCAGACCCAAAGCCCATGAAAAGGAGCAGCAAAAGGAAGTCTTTGCTGGTCTGTGAAATCTCAGACTATGATATCCCATATATTAGTAAGAGGTGGAACAAATGGGTTCTTAGGACACAGTGCTTTTGATCCCCTTCAGTCTAACACCACAGGACAACTGAAATCACCAAAGCCATGGCAAACCCACCAGTTAGACCTCAGGCCTCTAATAGGTCAGGTCACTGTCACTGCAGCAACCCTGAAATACAGCTTGCCTCTCGAGCTATTCCTGACACAGTATAGGCTCCACCCTACATAGCAGCAGATGCACTGCAGCACTGGATTCCTATTTAGAAATGGACTAGTAATCCATGTGTAGGGCCACAGGTGCCATAGGCCTGAGTGTATCCATCACTGATTGGGCAAGGGCTAAGGCCAGAACTACAGTGGGTAAAGAGCTAGCTGGCAGCTGGACTGGGCCTGAAAGCAGCAAAGCATTAGTCAGTGGCTAGGTGGCAGGTCAGACTGGCTCAGTCCCTGCAGAGCAGTCAGGTAGTGGCCAGCAGGGTGACCAGTTCCCCTGCTACCTCCCCCTCTGCATCTGACCTTCCCCTAGAACCTCCTTACCAAGGGAGAGCAGTCGGCGGGTGAGCTCCAGGGCACGGTGCAGGTCACCCAACTGGAAGACAGCATAGCTCAGATAGTCCAGCACCTGGGCCTTGGATGTGGTGGCCTCCTCCCCTGCATCGAGCTGCTTCAGCACCTGTTCCATCCACAGCACTGTGTGGTAATAGTCTCCTTCATTGTAGGCCGAGCGGCCCATCCCAAAGCAGTCATCCACACTCAGCACTGCCTGGTACTTGGTTCCTGCAGCAGGAGAGGCAAATAGTCAGGCTCAAAGAGCCTCTCGGTTAGGGAGAAAGATTCCCCCATTGAGGGAGCCTGGGTCCCTGGGTGGGGGGCATCATCCCAGCAGAGCCCCACCAGGATTTCAGACCACACACCTCCAAGGGCCATTAGTACGGAAAGCACAGCCAGGCTGGCCCTGCCTTGGGCTGGGGTGCACAGACTATCTCCTAGCCTCAGACTCCCCAAGTGGGAAGGGTCCTTTGTTACAGAAGAGCCAAGGAAGCCCAAGGAATAGTGTTCAGGAAAGTATAAAGGTCCTGTGAGCCACATGGCAGATGTCTATGAGGCAGCTGGCCATTTGAGACTGGAAGTCAGAAAAATAAGTTAAATATTAAAAAACAGAACTTAGGTGGCAGGTAAAGCCATGGATGAAGATAATCGCTTCCAGAAATAGTGTCAGGAAAGAGTAGAGAAGGTGGCTGAGGCCAGGGCCCCAGAGACCACCTATACAGAAAGGACAGAGTGAATAACACTGAGAAAGAAACAGAAGGAGCGGGAATGATGTGACGGATGCCAAGGGAGACCAAGAGATAAGACTGCAGTGCCAGCTTTGACCACTAGGTGGTGGGGCCCTTGGTGAAGATCAATTCAGCAGGTCCTGTGACTACAGGTCATCTGCTGTTGGCTCAGCGCTGGAAAGTGACCGTGAAGAGGGTTTCAAGTCAAAAAGGAGATATGGTGTGTAAGCTATGGGGAGATGCAGGGTTTAGGCTGTGACCCTCCCTGGAAAGCAAGGGAGTTTCCCGACAACCCCATCAAGAGCAGCCTAGGCATGGCTGACATGGAAGAGTTGCCTCAGAGCAGGCTCTTGCTGCCTGATGTCCAAGATGTCCAGGATGAAACCCCTGATGCAATGTGTTGGCTGCTTCAGAGACCAAGGTTGCTCGCCATGATGGCTCAGGAACAGACAATGTGGGACAGGAAAATGGGGAGAGTAAACACAAGACAGAGTTAGTAGGCAGACCACAGATTGGGGTGGGGAGGTCCTTGAGTCCCTGTTCACTCCCCACGTACCTCCACAGATCTCTGGCTCTGTAGGCCGAGGAACTGAACACTGGTGGAGGCAGTATAACACAGCTGAGTGAGCTGGACAAAACAGGGTCTGGTTGGGCCTAACTATGGCACCCCACAACTGTATGACTATGGATAAGTTACGTAGCCCCTCTGATTCTTAGTCCCTTATCTCTAAATAGAGATAATACCATCAGTTTTAGAGGACTTGCGCCAAGAATTCAACAAGACGACATAAGAAAATGTCTCCTATGATTCCCCAGAGTGGTAATAATCAGTAGCTATTATCAACATGTCTCACAGATACCAAGAATGTCAAGAATGGCTCCCAGACACTCAGCATCCTTCCCAGAAGCCAACTTGAAAGTCTGCTCCCTAGAGAGTACTCCCTGGAGAATGCCAGCAGAGCTGAGGGCTGAAGGGCAATCACATGTGATGAAACCCAGCTGAAGTGGGTAAAGGTATTCCTGCAGAGGTTGTGGGATGAACAAAGAAGCTGAGCAGTGGCAAAGCTTAGTACAACAGACAAGGAAGCCAGGGAGATGGTGCCACACAGGACCACAAAAACCACACATTAAGAGGAATTTGGTTTAACCCTAAAAGTTAAGCATTGTGATCAGGAACTCATGTAAAAAGATATGTGCTTAAGACCACATGGAAGATGATTTTAAGGAGTGAGCTGGAGGTATACAATAAATTAGAATAATATTTCAATAATCCAGTTGAGAAAGAAGTGACCATGAGGCTGGAGTCAGGGCCTCCAAGTACAAAAGACATTGTAGGGAGGTAGAATCCAGAGGAGCCAGTGGATGGAGTGCTTTTTCCTGACGTAAGGAGGAAAGACAGTAGACGGTTCAAAAAGGGATGAGGATTTCAGTTTGGGACACGTGAATTTTAAGGAGCCCATGGAACATCCAAGTAGAGATGTCCCACAGCCATTTGCCTGCACTGGTTGAAAGCTCAGAAGACAAGCCTTGACAGGGAACACAGATCTGGATGTCATCCATGTACAGGTGATACCTCAAGTGATGGAAATGGCTAGGCTCACTTGGAGAAGGCGCTTAGGGAGACACCACGTAGGGGTGGTATCCTGGGGAACAACTCCCGTCCACTCCTCATTTCCCCTCCAGGATATGCATGGGTCTGTTAACTGAATGTAAAAGGTCAATACCTGGCTCTCTCTTCCCACCAACCATTCTCACAGGGTGAAAATATCCTGCAGGTGCCCCAAGCCACCATCTCTCTCTGGCCTCATGACCTGGCTTGGTCCAAAACCTGACTGAGTGAGGATTAAGGAGAAGTCTACACTCCTTCCTGTTGGCTCACTGGACTCCTCAGTACCAAGGCTCCAGGACCTGACCAGCCGGCAACACAGTGCATCCCTCCCCCTCACCGTGATTCCCTCTGCTGTGCCTCCTACAGGGTCCCCACGGGTGAGGTGGCATCCAAGGCCTAATGGAGTCTAACTGAATCCCTGGGTTTATGGGCCTTTAATAGCCCCCAAACCCCAACACGTCTTCTTATAAACATACTGAAGCAGACAACCGAATTGAAAAGGGGCCTATAAAAAAATGAGAGAGAGGAGCCAAAAGAGAAACAGCCAAGATCAGTGCCCCAGCATTCAAAGGAGGGGAGACTATCAGGAAGAATGGGGCAATCAGTATGCCAAATGCTGCTGAAAAGCTAAAGAACATTCTGCCTGAAACCTGTCTACTGGCTTTACCAGCCAAGTGGCCACTGGTGACCTTGCAGGGGCAGGAATGGCCAATGGGGGGGGGGGGGGGAGACGCCAGACTTTGCATGTTCAGGAGGACATAGGAACCAAGGAAATAGAGAAGGAGTGTGGATGACTCTCCAGCTGCCTAGCCAGGAGGGAGATCAGTCAGCAACAGAGACTCAAAAGGGCCTTGGATCCTGAGGGAGGGGTTTGTTAGATAAGCAAGAACAGAGCATGTGGGGAAGAGTCCAGAGAGGTGGACACAGAATGAACAGGGGCAGAGACTGCCACTGAGGGCACACAGGACATGGGGCAATGAATCCAGAGATCAGTCTTACACAAGATGAAATCGGAGGGTGGGGAATAGAACTGGGCGTGGATGCAGACCTGAGTGGTGCCCCGGGGACAGAGACCAAGGAGGTCCTGAGGAGCAACCTCGGCATACTCTGAGCTGC